AGGAGTGGCTGTGGAGGGAATACTGTTTCCAGAATTCTCGGGCTCAAAGCCTGGAGCCAAGCAAGAGAACAATACAAATAATTAAGGGACTAGTGGAATTAACTTACAGGGAATTCTTTCGGCTTTTCTTCACCTGGTGAGATCAAGTGTAGTATTCATTTCACATCAGATAGGTCTATTATCAGGGAACTGTATCCTGTTCTGGCAAAAGATGATCTAGTAGATTTTTTCCATTCCAACTTTGAGGATGTAACAAAGTATGTATAGCTTGGGAAAGTGATGCACTGGGTCTGCTACGTCAGGGGCATATTTAGAAATATCTAAGATGAATAAATCTCAAGGAGGGAATAAAAGCAAGGGAAGGTGTTACAAAAGGAAAAAACAAAAGCCTGCTTCCTTTACACTTATACAGAATCTATATAGAGAAGGAAGTCCAACCTCATATCAACTCCAGGTCATTGACTTCTGTTTGTTTATTCTTTCATAAAAACGTAGCTCATATTCCAAACCCATTTTGAGTAGTGAATACCATGTTCAATTTGCAGATGGAAAAATCGAGTCATTGAGAAAGTATTTTGTTTGTGTTCAAACAGCAAGTCAGTGAAAGAGACAAGAATATGACACCAATCCTCTGGCTGATGGAACAAAAACAGAGAGCTATAGATCTACACATTTCTATGAAATTCAAGTTACAAGGAATTTTTCTTATGGTTCTAATTTAGCCTATAATTTGTCACTCAAATATCACCGCCCTACAATTATATTAATGAATCGTCTCTAATCAGTTACAAAGCAATCCTCTGACACTCCCTTAGGTGTACATTAATGATTGGATACTTGACACGTTCACAGGCTGCTCTGGATCCTGTCAATATTTGCTGTCGAAAAAACCATTTAGGGCTTCCCTGGTGGCGCAGTGGTTGAGAGTCCGCCTGCCGATGCAGGGGACACGGGTTCGTGCCCCGGTCCGGGAAGATCCGACATGCCGCGGAGCGCCTGGGCCGGTGAGCCATGGCCGCTGAGCCTGTGCGTCCGGAACCTGTGCTCCGCAACGGGAGAGACCACAACAGTGTGAGGCCCGCGTACCGCAAAAAAAAAAAAAAAAA